AGGGTTCAGATCTGCCGAATGTGCTGGGCAATTCACAGTCCTATATAGTTCAGAATTATTATTACCATAGCCGCCTTGATAAATAGCATCAAAAAGAAATAATAATTGAAAAATGTTGTAAATTGTTGGTGACAAGTTCATTTCGCTCTTAAAAATTAACCAAGGCATGTATTGACATGATTAAAAAAACAAAATGCTCAGGAGGTATAGTTCGGCGAGAAAAATAATGCTATAGGAAAATTGCTTATGAAATTATTGCACAGGTTTTAAAATTAAGGTAAAACAACCCTTAACTAAATCAATTCTGTTAATTTTATATGTATATTATTAATCCAAATACTAAAATTTGTAAGAAAAATTGAGTTTACGAGTTAAAGTTGATATATTTATAAACAGTTTGTAAAAAAGTTCCTGAAAATAGGTATAAAAATATAACATTTTAAATTTGACGAAACATTTTTTTGTTGCGTTTTTTGCATTTGAGGGTATAATTTTTTTGCCTAAGTAATATAGAGAATTTAAAGGAAATATTTTAATCCCCTTACTGAAACTTTTGATTATATACGACAATTAAGTTGGATAATCCATATTTCCCTTCAATATTCCCCATATCTCCACTGCTCCAGCACACCTCGTAAACAAACTGATTAGCCGCAGTATCAATTTTCCGATGCACCGTGATCTTCTCATCTCGTATTATTTACTCCCTTCCAGCTAAATTACTTAGGCATATTTAATCAATGCGGGCTCTATTTGCTAAAACATCCCCAAGGTGCAAACCAAGTTGGACACCGGCCCGGTCAAATGCGAACGGATAAACGGGCGAAAGGCCACCATTATGGAATTGAGGCGATGCAGTGGGATGACCCATCGATTAAATTGATATGGCGGATCGGAGAGTCGTGTTGGTTAAATGGATGTTAGACTTTACCGTTAAAAGTAGAAAAATAATATTTTGATTCATACATTGTTTCCGGATCGTCTTTACAAGAGAAAAAACTTTTTGATTATTTTTTTTATCTCTTTGAGAAAAATGCATACTTCATAAAAGTTTTTGATTGTTCTAAAATGGTTAATTACGTTAATACTTTTTAAAATTTCCTGATCGTTTTTGAGAAAATTATAAAAATATGGTTGTCCTAAAATGAAAACGCGTTTCAATACGATAAATATTACTAAATTTTAATGTCTCGAAAAGTTTGAGAATGTAGAATGTTTAGGAGGGGAGTTAATTACCGCGACCTTACAGATCTATTGTGTGTTCCCCTTTCTTGAGTTATAACGAGTTATAACTCATCATACAGTCTCAGGACTTTAACAAAAGCCAATATCTGAGACGACTCCACAGAGGCCAGCTCTCCATGCTCGACATCAGCCGTACCAAAGTTCATGGCACGAATGGTCGTCGTCTCGGCGCACTCCGTGATAAGGTGTTCCTGTGTTTTCCCATTTTCCCACAGAATCTGCATTGGCCGTTGTTTCTCAGCTTCAGCCAACTGAGGTGTTCGTTGAGGAGACAGTGTCCTGTTAGAAACCCCGTGACAATTCGAAGATTGTTTTTACTTAAATCAAGGAAAACCTTTATTTTTCTCGGTCGTAAGTTCTGAGGAACTTTTTCGAGTATCTTAGACCGTTGGAGGACAACCATTCCCAGTTACGGATGGAGTCTTCCAGATTCTTCAGTTCCGCTTTCAGTTGGTTCCCGTTTGGAAAACAGAACGGTTCTGGTCCAGTTAGTCTAGTGTTCGTTCCTTTCCTAGCTAGATCATTTGCTTTTTCAACCTCGAAAACCTCGAACATCGGAAAGTTTGAAAGAGAAGTAATTGAAGCTGGACCTTTTCGGTGTTGAGATTTGAAAACCGGTTTTAGGTATTGATGACAACTGTTTTTTCACTGGTGTTTTGTGTATAACGATGTCGCTATTGGTTTAAAACCGGTGTTGGTCTGACACCGGTGTTGGGAATGACTTGTCAATGACAATGACATCACAAAAACAATAAATACTATTTTTAAGAGTGTCGATGAAGACTGCATAAAGAGGCATTCTTTTAGTACTAAAATTGCTACAGTGGAAACGGAAATGTAGCCATATAGGTATCCCACTAAACGGCAATACGATCTATACATTAAGTTTTGCAGACGACCAAGTATTTGACGACCAATAAAATTTCCCTCTTGAAAACGGTCAAAATATTAACGACTGTAGAAATTATAAATACTTGGGAGTCAAAAAATTTGAAGGGATTGCACTCTAGATAAAGCCATTAGGGACAGAAACACTCAGAATTCTTCTAAAGACAATACCGTGATAATCGAATACAGTTTAGTGTTTATTTAAAGTCTATTTATAATATGTACCTACAAATTTATACGGAACTCTCGGTGGGCGAGTCTGACATGTCCAACTCGCACTTGTACGATTTTTTTACATTGATAGATATGTCGATTTTACTAGTAACAAAGTCAAAACTTGTAACTTTTCAAGAGGATAAAGAAAAGCGACAAAATTGATAAAAAAAATTATCGATAATTTATTTTAACATCGGTACCCATCATCAGGTAATCCTACAATTCTTTAACCCAGTCATTGTTGATCGCCCCGTATAGCGGGTAGTAGATTAAGGACAACTGAAATTTGATGTGATACAATGCCTACCACCTTCTAACAAATTTTATATTTTTTTCAGATACAAAAGTAAAAAAAAAAAAAAAAAAAAAAATTAAATTTCTTTAACATAGATTTACTTTACTTTCCGATTATTGAGTTTATTTCAATGTATGGCCTGGTACAAATTAAACAGAAATGTATATATTTGTTAATCTCGTTTTAAGATTTATAAACTTACACTCAAAGGGAGAAAGTTCCAAAAGGTAATCTCGAATGGGATTAAAATGAAGAAGGAGAATATTTATGTTAAATGGCGTTTTGTGGGATAGTAACATTTCTAAATCCAACAAACGTCAAATATACAGCACAATGGTTAAAATCATCGTTTGCTATGGCAGCGATCAATTTTTTACTTATTCTATAATGAATAATCCTGTTTATACTTTTCCAAATTTCCATACCGTTATAGAAAGAAATTAAACAAACATGAAAATATATTGTAATTTTTCCTAACGAAGTCCACATAATCAAAACGACTTTCTATGGTAATATAATTTCGCTTTCATTCTTTAATATATTCTTAGAGATAGAATTTTTATTAACGTTATTTTTTTACTTTTTTAAAATGTTAAAGAAGCACAACATTTGTTTATTTCAGTGCTACGGAAAGGGTGATAATAGTTACCAGAAAATGTGATACCTACTTTAACAGTAACAAATAATATAACGTTAATCAGAATTAATAATAACCATATATTAAAGATTGAAATCGAAATTAAATTACCATAAAAACGCATTTTGATTTTTAGGACTTTTAAAATATTCAACCATATTTTCATGGTTTTTTAATTTTCTCTAAAACGATACGGATATTTTTTATAAAAAAGGTATTTTTCTCAAAATTCCTATAATAAAAGAGTGTTTTCTCTTCTAAAGACACTACCGTGATAATCGAATACAGTTTAGTGTTTATTTAAAGTCTATTTATAATATGTACCTACAAATTTATACGGAACTCTCGGTGGGCGAGTCTGACATGTCCAACTCGCACTTGTACGATTTTTTTACATTGAAAGATATGTTGATTTTACTAGTAACAAAGTCAAAATTTGTAACTTTTCAAGAGGATAAAGAAAAGCGACAAAATTGATAAAAAAAATATCGATAATTTATTTTAACATCGGTACCCATCATCAGGTAATCCTACAATTCTTTAACCCAGTATCAGTCATTGTTGATCGCCCCGTATAGCGGGTAGTAGTATAAGGACAACTGAAATTTGATGTGATACATTGTCTGCCACCTTCTAACAAATTTTATATTTTTTTCAGATACAAAAGTAATTTCTTTAACATAGATTTACTTTACTTTCCGAATATTGAGTTTATTTCAATGTATGGCCTGGTACAAATTAAACAGAAATGTATATATTTGTTAATCTCGTTTTAAGATTTATAAACTTACACTCAAAGGGAGAAAGTTCCAAAAGGTAATCTCGAATGGGATTAAAATGAGGTAATATTTTAGTCGGATGTTTACTTTGTCTTTAGCGCTTCAGAATTCTTGGAAATTTTCGATACATTTCTAAAATGTTGTTTGACTTTTGTTGAAGAGTAAACCTAAAATACAATTATATTTACTTCTCTTTATACTTTGGATCTGAAATTTGATTCTGGCTTATTATTAAATTGAAGACATTGTTTTGCAGATTCCGTTACACAAACTTTATTTAAAATATTTTATTCAGCACACATTTTACCTCGATATATTTTTTATTTCCTCTTATTATTAATTTATTTAGTTAACAGAATTTAGACATAAATGTAGTTGATAATTAACCAAAATATTCGAGTTTTATTATCACTTTAACATAGGAAATTAATGTATATTATTGGTTATAGAGAAATAAAAAGAAGTCATCTAAAAATATTAATTCCAATAAGAATTTTAACTATCCAAATCTTTCCTGACTCGTTGAACAGACTTTAATTAAAAATCTGGATATGTCTCTCTTGACAGGGAAATATTAAAAACACAATATTTTTTTATATAAAACACTGGGTTCTTGGATCATAGACAAACGCTTTTCACTGGCATCTTACTCGTAAACAAGCGTGTTCAAACAACAACATAATAGATTTGACATGTCAAGATGTATTTTTCGTGCCCAACTTTTTGTTCTCTTTCAAATTTTTATTCGTGCCTAATATAATTTACTACAAGACACATTACCGTAATATACTGGCATTTCTTCAATTATATTGAAGAAAATAAGTTGAATTTTAGTATCCTATCGAAAGAAATATAAATACTTACATTTAATGAATTGTTTAAAATATACAAATAACAATTCTGAAATAAAATGTTATATTTATATATTTACTTTCAGATTGGCAGCTTAAAAGGATTCTACTTGTTTGAACATCAACGCATCCGCAAAAGATCACTTGAATCAAGCGACCATCTTCATGAGACTCTGATGTCTGAACCACAGGTAAGTTATATTTTTTTTATCGTAAATAGATAATTGCCCAAAAACAAATAACTGAAGGGAAATTGCCTGAAAACATATCACCGAAGATTGTTCTAATGGAAAATTGTCTGAAAACGTAATTCCGAGGGTAATTCCACTAAGCACATTTTACCGAACTTAAAAGTTGCCCGAAAAAATTCATACTTGTTAGATCATTTTCATTGGCAGGCCATTGTTATCATTATTCATTGTTTATTATCATCCAAGTGTAAACACGTGGAATGGCAGACGAATTTGTCAGTGAAAATAGCAGACAGAAACAGTTGAATGTGGTATGGTTTATTTTTTTCTTAATCATTTACCAAAAATCGATATTTCGTTGAATTTTTGTTACTCTCAATTTTAATTCAGTGAAATTTCTTTTCGGGTAATTCTCTTTTCAGTCAATTTTTTTGGGAAACTTTTTCTAGATCTTTTTTATATTTATATGTAATTGATTACAATTTTCCGAACATATTAATTTCCGTAGTTAATATACTGCTCCAAAGTTTGTTGTTGCTTTAATACCTTATTCTAAAAACATAATACGGTTATTAGAATATTTTTTTGATAAAGCCGCACCTATATAATGCGTCCAACGTTGGTTAAAACGTTATAATCAACATTTGGCACATGTTTTGACAATATTGCAATTCAAGTAACAAGTGGGTCTCCCACACGATGTAGCAAATGTTCATGTGTCCAACGTTGGTTACATTGCTACATCGTGTGGGACCAGCTTTATACTTTTGTTTAGTTAATTTCTTATTTGATCTATAGTAAAGTCCCAAATATGATATATGATCTATAATCTATCCCAAATAATAGGGTAAAATATTTCCGGTTAACAGTTTTGCTTTTAGACATTTCATCCTCATCATCATCATTTTCAGCTTATTCAACCATTTCCAACTATGGTGTAGCCTCCCTTGTCCTCTATCCCAAACATATTTAGATACTCTTTTTGTTGTGTATTGTTGACAATCTGGGCCCAATTTATCCCTGCTAATTTCCTAATAATCATGGTCTCATCTCAGGTTTAGTCTTCTTCTAGGTCTAGGTCTTAATTTCTCCTGGGTACCATGCTGTAATTTTTGTGGTCCATGTGTTATCCGTTCTTCTGGCCAAGTGTCCTGCTCATTGCCACCTGAGGGATGGCATTTATTACCTGAGTCTTTTGTCGCATCTTCTCTATTTTTTACGTATTCCAAGCTAACTTAATTCTTCTGTTGATTGTTGTCCCAAATATATATATATTCTTCTACTATTTCCAGTGTTGTGTTATCTATTAGAATATCTTTTTATGTCTAGATCTATATTTAAATATTACTCTATATGCTTTATACAAGATATCCCAGAAATAAGTGCAAGTATTTTAAGGGGTGGTAGATCTCGATAAAAGAAACATTTTTTCTCTTTATCGTTTTTCAAATAAATCCAAAATAACGGAGTTATTTTACTTTGAAAATTTCGAAAAAAAATGATTTTTTGCTAAAATTTTGATAACCACTGGATCTTTTCTGAATTTTCTTTCTTGTAAATTTAATCTAATACCTATGTTTCCACATTATCAAGAAATTATGTTTTTTTTAACTAAAATTTTAACTAAAACTAAAAAAAATTCCAAAAAAATTTTCAAAAAATTTCGAATTTTCAATTTTTTTTCGCGAAAAAAACCTTATAGGCGTGTTTCTGTGGTTGAACTATACTACCAATTAAAATACTTGCACTTATTTCAGGGACACCCTGTATAAATATCCCAAATCAACTTTCTATTATAAACAAGTAAACCAGTTGACTATGTCAATTTGAATAAGACTTTTTTTTTCGTTTCATTATGGAAGGAAATTGAACTAAATACTAAATTTTAAACATTATTTATGCAATGCGTTTTTAATATTATTTTTTTTTTTATTTTGCCCATATAATTCTCGGTAATAATAAAACAATTTCGTTTTACTTCAGTGAAAATGGTATTCTGAATTGAATGACATATCATATGCCAATATTTGACATTTTTACTTAGAAAAATAGTATTTTAAATTTCACGTGTGGCACGGCAATAAACCTAACGACAGTTTGGCTCAAAATACCAACTTATTCGTGAAAAAATACTTTTTCTAAATCGTCCCATTGCTGCCAAAAGTCACTAACTTACTTTTTATTACTTCCGAGAAAAGTGCGTCTAAAGATGAATTGCATTGCATAAAGATGTTATAGTTAGTAACTATTCGGTATTAAAATAAAACATAAATAGCCAGAAATCGTAGTTAATGACTTTTGCAATCGATTCTCCGCTTCAAAACATAGTTAGTGATTGAATTTGGTTGTTCGGAAAAATGTTAGTAGTTGCCTTTTGTTAGTTAGTTAGTTAGTTAGTGACTTTTGGCAGCAATAGGACGAAATATGCTAATGAGCCACACCCGTTCCCTTAAAAAAAACAAGTTATGATTAAAAATACGATTTGATCATCTTTTAACCGGCCAGGAAAACACACTAATGACATTAGAGGTTCATATTTATTTTTCCAAAGCTACTTAATTGAAAATTAATATCTTTAACAGAGCCATGGCATTCTAGATTCAAATTTAAAATATATATATTTTTTAATTGAAAATGTTAAAAGTTGACATGTATGATATATCATTCTATTCAGTATGTCATTTTCTATCAAATATAGTAAAAAATACTGATGGGACTATTTAAAAATCAAAAGTTGTAGTCACTTCCGGCAAAACAGGGAGTGACCGAAACTAAAGGAATACATCAATCAATCCCGATTTATGTCATATAATAACATACCAGATTTTGTTTTTTTTTATCTAAAAAATAAAAAAGTAGGTTTGACCACTTTGGAAAAACACGCGGTTTAGGTCCCGAAATAGACCGAGCTGTCGATTTATATCGCAAAATTTAAAATGCTTAGCCGCCAACGAATTTTCGACTGTTTTTGCGGTTTAATCGAAACGGCGCGGACTCTTTCCACTCAATTAACTTAAATATTTAATTGTCTGCTAATTTCGGACTGCGGCCGAAGCGCCAACCGCGCCGCGGCGGTTCAAACAAAGAACGCGCAATTAAATCGTAATCAATTCATACCGTTCAGAAAGAATTTTTTTTTGCCGTTAATTTACTGTTTGAATGCTAAACTCCAAATGCAACGGCGAAGAATAGAGTTAGCGGGGCGTGTGAACGTTGTAAACTACTTGTAAACAATTTATATAATTGTAATAATTCGGCGAACCAGAATAAATATAAACGGAAATATACCCTTTCGTCTAATGTATTTTATACTATAGTTCTAGCAGGTGTTAGTATTTAATCGAGAAATACATAAATAATGTTTTGCCACATACCGATAAATAAATAAATAAATAACGCTAAAACGCCCAACCAAAACAAAGAGCCAAAATAGCTTCATCGACAAAGTATTTACAAAGCAAACAAAAGCACAAAAAATATATAAATAATAAAAAATATACGATACAAATGATACAATTAAAAAAAAATTAAGTCATTAAAATGACAAACAGAACATACATGGACAATTGCAGAACACAAAAAAGCGTATCAATAAAATTTTACAATAGGAAAATTGTAAATGGATACAATTTTAAGATTTATAAAATATTAAACACTCGACCTTTGACCAGTGTGTGAGATGATAAAAATTTTAAAATTCAAAATTGTTCATAATTAAACATCAACAAAAAAGTCTCCAGTAAGTATGATTTCAGAGCTTTGCCACAAATGCGGGAAAGAATGAAAGCGACTTAGTATTCAAAGGCAGATGATTGTACATTTTTTTGGCATTATACAGGGTGGTCGAAATTGGTCTGTTTTAACAGAGAAAACCTATTTCCTGACTAGATAGAGCAAAACCGACGTAGATGTCATGGTCTCGATTTCTGAGACTCGTTTAATGTCATAAACCGCCTGTTGATATTCTGACTTCCAACTGAGATACGGGGTCTTTTTGAATTTTTTACCATTTTGAAAATTGCCCATACTTTTTTTATTTTGCGGAATAATAAAATTCTGTAAAGACTTTCTTAAGGCACTTTTTTAAGCACAATCCAGTGGCGTAGTCAGTTTTTTTCTATACTTGTTCTTTTTGTCCGCAATAATAAAAAATATAATTATTTAAATGGAAATCATAGTTGGGGCTATGAACTTAAAAAAATGTTGATGTTTAACCCTTTCCAACGATATAAAGTTATGGGTATTTATTTCTAAGAATGAGAGAAATATTAGGGTTATTTATCTATGTATCGAAGCGGGCCTTGATTTTATGTTGATCTAGTTGCCTAATTATATTTTATCGCAATTTAATATTCTATATTATTATTTATCTGCAAAATTAAAGACTTTTGAAAAGAAAAATCAACATTCTATATTAGTTTTACCAATTACAATTAAAAAGCCATTAAATGGAGAATTTAGAGAGAATCGGATTGGAACAAAGGTCCCCATATCTTGGCCTGCTAGGTCCTGTGATTTAACTTCTTTCGACTTTTTTATGGGGGAAATTAAAAGACCTTATATTATAAGAGAAGAATCATTGGACGAGAGAAGAATTGCAGAAGGCTACTAGACAAGCTTTTGGACTTATTACACCAGTTCGCCTAATAAATCGCTGTAACTCTGTGCGCAAAAGATGTTTATTATGTATTCGACAAAGAGGTGCTCAGTTTGAAAATCTTAGATGATTTTTTTTGGAAAACTATATTCGTTACTCAAAAAATACGCTTTTTAGCTTTGTTCTTTGTTTATTGTATAGATTTCAATTGTAACTACTAAAACTAATATAGAATGTTAATTTACCTTTTCAAAAGTCTTTAATTACGCAGATAAATAATAATATAAAATATTAAATTGCGATAAAAAATAATTAGACAACTAGTTCAACAGAAAATCAAGGCACACTTCGATATAAAGATGAAAAACCTAATATTTCTCTCATTCTTAGAAATAGATATCCA